CTTTGGTGTGACAGAAAATGTCCTCCGGTGTGACGCCTGTACTGTCACACCATAGGACAAAGATGTCACACCACAGGACAAGGTCTCTTTAAAAAGCATTTTAAATAATTAAATAAGATTTATTTAACTCCTTTTTATTCTTTTTTGATCATTTCCAGTGTTCTTAAATGCAATAATTACATTAAACTATTTTCTGCTGTTTTTGCAGAAAACTTGTACTGTTATAAAGTGTCATGAAAATAAGTATAAAATGTGATACTTTGTTTTTGAAACAGAAAGAATTCAAGTTTCAATTCAATTCAAGTTTATTTATACAATGCTTTTCACGATACAAATCATTGCAAAGCAACTTTACAGCAAATTAAGTTTCTACAATATTTAGTGGTAGCTTATCAGTGGTGACTCGGTTAATATACATATGGCAGAAATGTAGGGAAAAATCAATTAAAGACGTAATCAAACAGACGATGAACACTATTAACAGCAATTATTATATGATGCAATCAAACTTATAGCAAAATGTGGTATGGTCCAATAAGTAATATCTCTGTCTTATCCGAATTTAATAGGAGAAAATTATTGGTCATCCAATTTTACATTTTTAACACACTCTGTTAGATAATTTAGAAGTTTCATCTGGTCTTGTTGAGATATATAGTTGAGTATCATCAGCATAACAGTGGATTGAGGGAGAGAAATTAGTGGAAGACAGAGGACACAGAAATAGAGACAGAAAATTGCTGGATCCACGCAGAAGGGAGGAGATCCTAAGAGAACAATGCAGAAAGTAAATAGAATCAAAATGATGCCTTAAAAAGAGTAGAGTTTAATAATAGTTTAAAAAGTATATAGTAGATTTATTCACATCTTAATGAATATAGTTTGAATATCAATCATATTTAGCTGTGCCGCACATGCAGCAGGGGGCTAGAAGAGTTTCAGTAACATACTGATTCACTAAGAGACTGAATTTTGTTGATGAAAATTATTTTTTGTTTTGTTTAAAAAAAACATGTCGATATTGTTTGTATCAAAATTAAACTTTCTTTCTCCTTTGACATGTTCAAAATTAAATAGAAATAATTTAATAACTACCATTTCTGTCCTTTAGTGTGACGTAATGTCCTATGGTGTGACACACATAAAAGAACCACAGATTTGTTTTTATCTCAAAATATCTTATGAATATCAGTTGAGTATTTTAATAGGGGAGATATAAATATCACTCATCTTAAAATTGTATAATTTTCAGCAGTTTTGAACGGATGACAGCAAAGTTTGTCTTGTTGTCAAAGTTTGTCCTGGAATTGTCCAACAAGTCATGGGGGAAAAAATATGTTAATTATAAATTCACATCTTAATGAATATAGTTTGAATATCAATCATATTTAGCTGTGCCGCACATGCAGCAGGGGGCTAGAAGAGTTTCAGTAACATACTGATTGACTAAGAGACTGATTTTGTTGATGAAAATTATTTTTTGTTTTGTTTAAAATACAAGTTGAAGTTTGTCAGTTTGTCATGAAAATATCCAACAAGTCATAGGGAAAAAATTGTTATTCATTATTTCATATTAAATACAGTAAATAACACTATATGAAAATAAGTGTCTAACAATTAAGATAAATCTCTCTCATGCTATTTATATTTTATTAAGAGTTTTTTTTCTTAATTTTTGCTGTGTCACACCATAGGACAAATTTACAGTTCAGTGAAAATGTAAAAAAAAAAAAAAAAAACAATGAAAGAATTGATTAAGTTAGTGACCCTTTATATTTTCTCAGAGATCAGACTTCACACTACATAAATTTATGCATTTCTTTTTCAAAAAAGGTCTTTTTAAAAAAAAAAGCTTTTTTTTTTTACTGCCTATTTGTCAACTACCCATATACCACAGGTTCTCTATGGGATTGAGATCCGGGGAGTTTCCTGGCCATGGATCCCAAATTTCAATGTAATGATCTTCGAGCCACTCTTGCTTTGTGACATGGTGCTCCATCATGCTGGAAAATGCACGGATCATCAC